GAAAACAGGGACAGAAAAACGTGAAACGGTAAACGGGAGCGTCATCATATCTATAAGAAGGAAAAGACACAGAAACAGAGAGAGCTGATAGAAAAACGTTGACTCACGTTGTTCCCAGGGAAAATCAAAATCCAAACAAAAATAAAAGAAGAATTTCGTAAGAATTTTATGGTATGATTTCGAGCATTCAAAAAGGTAATTATGCGGGAACCCCCAAAAGGGAAAAACCCAGTACCATTAACCGGATATCAATCAATAAGCGCCACGCCCCAGACCCCAAGCAACTCGAGAAGGAAATCCAGTGACAGGCACGTAGCAGCCGAAATGCAACCCCATGGAGAACGAAGCCCATACAAGAGAGAGAGCAGAGAGCTAGCCCCCTGCCTCCAGCCATGTGCAGCCAAGGCTAACAGCCAGATCCCCATCGGAGCCATCGAGCTGCAGACTTGGGCTAAAGCTGGAGTGGGTTTTGTTTCTTGGTTTCCTTTGTTTGTTTTGCCGAAAAATACGCATGTTTCCTGCTTCCGCTGCTGCTGCTGCAGTCATCGCACTTCTGCTGAGGTACGATATCTGTCGTCTAGCCGGGAGGGGGGAAACCACTGAAACCATCTGCCATATCAGCCCACAGCTAACTCCTGCCCATCGACAGCAAGTCCTCTGCCTCACAATGGAACAAAGAAGAGAGTTTTGTTTTGACGCATATTTCCATTCCGCTTTTTCGGGTTGCCACGGACAACCCGGCGTAAATGGCAAGAAAAACATGTCTGGTATGCATCGAATGGGGTGGAGAGTGGGGTGGAGGGCACTCCAACAGTGGGGTTGCAGACAGCACGTGTCTGGTGCACTGCGCCTGCCCGTAAAATAACAGAAATCAGCTGACATAATGGAATGAAATGAATGAACGTTGAGGAAACAAAGTAGCCAGTCGAAGCTCGAATGTGCCCCAACATTACACACAATGCTGTGTGGCATACGAGTAGTAGCTGTGGCTAAAGTGAAACCAATTTAGTGATCTGTTAATAAACGCGACGGCGACACCTTGAACTTGAGGTGAGGCTGCGACTTTTAACCCCCGCTAAAAACCGAACAAAACTTAAATGTTGGCAACTATTTTTGTTACTAAACTAAACCTTTTGCTGGTGCGACAATGGGAGAAGGTCAGTGACTAATGAAATCTCCAGGGGCCACAGAAAAACAAAAGCAAAACTCTGTCTACAGTGAAGTAAAGCGACAATTTTATTATCCCTGACTAAGTTTAAAACATTGTAAACAATTTTTGATGCTATTTTCTGTTGCTTACAAGTCCAGGGCAGGTGGAGAAGTTTTAGACACAGTTTGTGTTCCCTTTTATAGAATTTTGAGCATTAAATTCCCGATTTTCTGTTATTTATTTTGACTGAAGACAACATACCCTTGCCACTCTTTGAATACCGTGTAAAACGATTCAAAACCTGAGTAAATCTCAGCCGCGTTGCAAGGCCCATGTTGACGTTGTAATTTTGCATCATTATCACCGCCTGCCACCGAACTCCCCTTGTGGCAGTGCGGCGTGGGAAAGTCAAGAGTTGGAGCGCAATCTTCATAGAGTTGCCCCTGCCCAAAGCCCAAACTTGAATCTCCACTGCGATCTTAGCCATCTCTGACATCTCTCTTCCCATTGTTTGAGCTCTTCATTAGACTCGTCCACTGCTCACTCACTCATTAAATTGTTTGACGCCTTTGAGAGTAATTGTCACTTGAGTAATTTCTCTCTTTCTCTCTCTTTGGCCGAAAATTGCAGGCACTTGAGAGTTTGTGCCAAAAGCAAAGCAAATCTCTTGTCTGTGGGGCATATACTCGTACGTACATAATGTAGTTGCATAAGTCGATTTATTGCTTACTTTTCTTGGGAGGGGGGGGATACTTATTGTGACGCGTCATCTTATCTTGAGGCCTCACCTTACCTTCCTTTATTCCCACTGGTATGACTCTGAATTCCACCTGAGAGATTCATGTGTCTGCCATACGATACGATCCCATCCGTTCAACTTTTATTTGCGGTTTGCCCATCAACTTGGTCGCTTCTGTATGGGCTTATATCATGTTTAAATATTATTAGCTGTGAGATGTGCATTTATATACATATTTTTGTGATTTATTTTGCTTGAGTTGCGGCTTTAACCTTACTCGAACACTGCTCGAACCTTGATTTATTATTATTTCTGGCCACCAAGTACTTGACACAGAGCAGAGAGCAGAGAGCAATGCCAATGACAGCACGACCCACCAGAAGCACAGATTTTGCATTGCAAGTCTTTTGGTTTGCATACATTTTCAACACCTCAAACGATCTGTATATTTACGAGGGACTACAACTCCATTAGGCTGGGAGATGGTTGCCGTGCGAGGTGCTCATAAAGCCATCTTCAGAGACCCCCACCGACACACGGCGATGGCGTGCAATCATTTATGCCGCGCCAAATAGTTTATAAAACAATTCATTTTGTTATATCATTAGGCGGCTTGTACACTGCTCTGCTCCTCTCTGCCGCATTGCGCCGTACAACTGAGTTGGAGGTGATCGCGTGATCACTCTCAGTCTCTGTATCGCATTCGCATTCACTTTTTTTTCGTTGGCCAAAAGAAATTATAATTACGGCATCGCGGCATCAGAGAAAGATTCAATTACAAAACATGTGAGAGCGATACTTGAGATGTTCGTACTCGTACGTTTTTCTGCAAGGAAACCTATTCGTATCAGGAAAACATCCATCAGTTGGCCAAACACTTGCCAGAGTGCACATGGGCACGGGTGTGTTCTGCTGCTGCTCCTTGGCTCCTTGCCACACCTCGGAATGGTGGCCAGCACTCAAACTAATTGCTTGCTAAACGCTTGCCAAAGGGCAATTATTGCATTAAAACTATCAAAGAAACCTGGCAAAAGACGTAGCCCAGGAGGAGCAGCCATGGAGCGCGTGTCTGCACTCTGACCTATGGCTCACCCACACAAATATCTAACTCTGCACCCATAGATAATCTCCGGATATTGCTCCCCACTTTGTGTTCAATTTTCTCTGCCATTATGCCATTAGCCAAGCTTTTACTTTGATTTCTTCAACTTTGCTTTCAACTTTGAACTTTTGCAGCTAGGATTGATTTTCCTCCTTCAAAACAAGATCAGACACGAAGAGTGTGACAAAGTGTTTCGGCTGTACGGCTGCCTCAGGTAGTTTTTCTGGCTTAAACACCTGGCCATCCTCTACTTTTGACCACTTTTCGCGCTGCTGCCTGTCCGCGCGCGCGGTTCGGCTCTGTTTTTCTGTCAAAATTTTCCCCCAATTAATGAGCAATTTAGCTGTCAGCAGGTCTCGGCTCGTTTGTTTTTACATTTACCTGCCAAAACAGCAAAACGAAGCCTAGCCTCTGCCTCGGATTTGAATTCGGATTCAGATTTGGAGTTTTCGTATCTGCACTGCTTGGACTGAACCCATCCTACTATGCTTGGACCTGCAGCAGCAGCAAAAACTCTGCGCTGCGCTCATTCGTCTTTCATTGGTTGTAGCTTGCAGTCGGGTGTCTGGTTTTTCTCTCTCGCTAAGTGCTTACCAAACCCACACGTGGTGTGCAGTGATTGTAAAACTCCACCGTGCGCAGTGCAAACAGTTCTTGCAAAACCAGCAGCAGTTTAAACTCCTTTATCCCCGTTAACCCCACGTGCTACGCAGTTCTTGTCAAATTGTAAGTGCGCTTCGGTTCGTTTTTCGTTTTTTTTTTTGCTTTGCCAAACAGTGAAGTGGAACTTGTTTCTTAGCGGTTCTTAGCCAACCCGTAACACACATATTTATACTCGTATTCGCATTCCCATTCGTAACATATTCTCGTATAAATGCCAAAGCCAGGCCCCCAACATCTTGACTCACGCTGTGCGATAACTTTTGGGGGAAAAGATACAAACACCATCCAGAATCCGGAATATACCGATACATGTTGCTGATGACTAATGCGAGATTCATCTGGCGCGACTTTTGTGTAAAATCTCATAACGGTGACGCTTACAAAAGGCAGCAAACAGCAGCAGCAACGTCAGGCAAGTGTGCGGCATTTCGAAATAGATTGAATCTCTTGGGCCACACAAAGAACCAGCTCTGTTGAGCGGCTGAGATGATCAATGGAAGTGCTGAAAGAATATGGAATAGATTAAAGATCAGCAGCAGGCAACAGCAGCTTGAAGTGATTGATTTACTGAGAGAATGGCAGGGGAAGAGGCTGCTGCTACTGTCCGCGAGCTGCACATATTTTAAATGTCAGTGGATTATCCTCCTCCCCTATCTCTTCTTAAATCCAACCAAACAACTTGCCTCATTAACCCACCGCCGCCTGTGGCGAGATTGCAGGCAGCTGGCAATAAAAATGAGACCTAGCCATAACAATAACCCATCTTGCAGCAGCCGCCATTTGGAGAAGAAAATTCCATTTCCATCTATAGGAAAAAACTGTACTCTTGCCCAGCGCTACTAATAAATGGCCATTCAATGAATGGCTATGGGTAGGGGTATGGGTATGGGTATGAGTATGAGTCCCCCTTATTAAAGGAGAAAGTTTACTTTTGGCTCTGGCATTGGTGCAAAAAAAGACAAACTAAAATCTCAGCAGAAATAAAAGCCTGCTGCTGCCTGTCGATCGGATGTGCATTCTACTGGAGGGCAGGGGAACAGATCCCCAATAAGGCAGGAGGTCTCTCTCTCCACTTCATCCTCTCATCAGTGGCTTGGAAAATGCCTTGTCACGAGTTTCCACCATTCATCGGGGATGGAGAGGTTGTGAGCATGGAATAACCCATTGAGGAAAAACGCACGTTTTCAATGCAGTGCAATCTGGGCAGCAGCATGAGGCCTTCAGCATTCGGCCTGTGGTGCACAGTGTATCTGCATCTGTGACTCTCTTAATTGCCACACTTTATGCCTCTAACGGTCCATCATCACTAACTAACTCCTCGCTTGTCTCTGTCTCGTATCTTGCAGCAATTCGCTCATTGCAAAAAGTAAAAGTCACTCGGGCATAGCAGCACCTCTGCCACCCAGCTTTGGTGGCAGCATCGTTGGCCCCCAGTTGCCCCCACTTGGCAGCGGTTTCGTCAAGTTGCGTCATGTAGCAAAGGGTGAAGAGGAGAGCCACCAGCAGCCCAGCACTTCGTCAGCGTCAGCGTCAGCGAAGGAATCACCAGTGCACTCATCGCAATCAGCGACAGATAAGAGCCACACAGCTGAGGAGGAGCAAACAGAAGACACATCGAATCCCACCGCTTTGCCCCAGTTTCTTCAAGGCGTGCGTCGCTCATCGACCCAGGTGAGAACCCCCCCACATTGCCATGTTCGTTGTTAATCATTCAATTCTGATCTTTCCCTTGTTTCCTTTAACCAGGTCATGGGTCCCGATCAGCGCTCAATGGCCAAGACCACCTCCATTGCGGAGCGTCTGGCGGCGCTGCAGAAGAGCGGAGAGGATGATTGGAGGAAACGCATCTCGAAGCGCGACGAAACCGATGATATACGACGCGAAAACTTTGTAAACGTGAGTTCATTTCCATTTACATTTCCACTACATTCTTCTCTGGGTTAAACTTGTATCTGCCGCTGGTGCTGCTGCCTCTGGCGCTGCGCATGCGTGCCTCTGTGTAGCGCAATGGATCCGATCTTTCGATTTCGATCTCGGCCTCTGTATGCCCATACCCATTTCAATTGCGTGTAAAGTGTTTCCTTATTGTTAATCGTTTTGTTTATTATCGTTTTGCTGCACATTTGACTCGTGTTTTTCATCCTCTACTATGTTGGTATTTCTGCAATGCGCCCGTTGCGTTGCTCGTGGCATGCCAACAGAGCGTTAAAGCTGACGGCAATGACATAATAATATGTAAGACCAAAAGTGCAAGTGATATTGAAACAGTGAAACTGAAGGGGGGAGGTGTGCTTTTGTTGGAGGGTGTGTGACTTTTATACGAGTACGAATGCATTTGGAGCAGTCACCTGAGTCACCAACGAAAAGATTTATGATTGCAAAGATAAGGTGTGCGTTGTACTCGCATTGCGTTGATACTTTTCGTTAACAAATCTAAGCAGATTCACGTAGTAGTTCATTGTCAGTCAAAGTTCTGATAGAGTAGAAGGCAGCAAAACAACTTTTGCTTTTAGAAAAAAAAACCTTTGCTAAACAACACAAAAATTACTTTTACGAGTAGTCTTCGAAGAGGAACCTTTTTGGTTCTAACAAAACTCGAGGTACTTAAAATAAAACGTGGAAAAGGAAAACCTAAAAACCTTTAAATGGAAATGTAATAAAAATTGAAATCCTAAAAACCAAACCCTAGAGGAGGTGAGCATCAAAAACAGATCAGTCTTGCCAACCCACAAAATTTGAAAATTGCGCCAATTGTTACTGATTTGTTATACACCCCAAAATATGCTACTGAAACTGTATCTACTACTTCCAATTGTTGCCGCCATGTTCATAGTGGCGCCACTTACATTTGTGCTTCAACGAAAACACGCCATGCGGCGCTAGACAACCTTTCTTAAACAGCCGCCGCAAGCATCTCTTTGGCCTTTGGTGCCTGAATATGTGGAAGTCGGAAACCAGAGCATCAGCAAAGTAATTGGACATTTTAATGAAATATTACTTTAATTCGAATGAAAACGAAAACGGCAAACGTGACGCAGCTGTGATGTCACTACCGGCTTTAGCCTAGTTGTTTTGCCGTAAAATTTCACTGGCCATGTCCAAAAAGTATCAGCTGTCCATTAACTTTTATGGGCATGGCCACATATCAGAGCGGCACTTGCACCGCAATGCTGGCAAAAATGCCAGAGAAATGGATACAGCGACAGATTCCGTTTAGACTGTCAATTAGCTTTGAGCCATAAATGAAGTTTAGTGAACTTTTCCCTGCCTCTCTCTTTCCTACTCTATCCTCCCATCTTGGTTTGTGGCTGATTAAACGGTTACTTCTGGTCCATAATTATGCGGGTCTTCTGCCTGCTTCTCCGCAGACTCCCCTCCCCGCGAATTGCACAAAGTAATCACATTTAATTACGTTTGAAAGACCCGTCGCTGCCGCCTCCTCCTGCTGCCACATGTGGGGGGCTTACTCATCAGCGGACTCCTCTGGGGTGTCAGCTGTGGGTTGGCACTGCAAGACAGCGGGAGAAATATTATGAGGAAATTATGTCAAAGCGATCTTCTGACCCACACACCATTCCAAAATAAACTCCCCACTGCCCGCACACTAACCCTCTCCACTCAGTGGCGCGGGCAAATGAGTTTTGAAGTGTTGTTGTTGGCAGCGAATTACATGCCACTTGGAGTGGAGTCTTGCCTCCCATTTGTTGTTGTTTGTTTCGTTACGTTTTTGAAGCGCGCCAAGCGTACCGTACAGTGGCGCAAGGTCAATGGGAAATGACAGCGCATGGGGCATACCCATGGCAGTGGGCACATTTTCCCCACTGTTCTACCCTCATTTTCTACGCTGTCGCATCAGACATCAGTCTGACAGCCATTAGACTACAATTTATTAATAATTAAGATGACTTTCTGCTTCTGTATTCCACTTTTGCGCTGCTTCTGCTTCTCAGCTCTCTGCTCTGTTGCTCGGAAAAGTCTGCGATTTTCATGCGCTGTTTGGCAAAGATCCCAAAAAGCAGAAATCAAGGTGGCGTATGAGCAATTAGTCGGGCCATCCATGCCCTGTTGACGTTGTGTCCCCAGAGTGTGTGTTGTTTATGATTGTGCGCAAAAAGAGTTCACTTATAATTTAGCACAATTTATCAAGCTACGATCGGCTGGCTGGCAGCATGAAAATGCGCATAATAATGAAGGGCAGAGAGGGATCCAAGGAGAGAGCAACAGCAGCATCAGGAGGAGTTCCAGCATCCCAGTTAAATATAGACGAGACTTCTCTTTTCGTTGAGCTGCAGCCCACTCCCTGTTGCTGCTCCTTCTTCAGTCCTGCTGCTGCCAACTTCCATTTTGCCATAATTTTCCCTCAAAAACTTGCCTTGTGGGCTGCACCACCACAGCAGCAGCAGCAGCAGCCACATCGGGCATAGTCGTTGCTGCAACAATTACAAACTGAGCAAAGAGAAGGAGCATGGCATGAAGGTTGTCTTTGGGTTTGGACTCTGTTGGGGCTCTGTTTCTAACTAGCAGATGTTGTTGTTACTGGAGGAGCCACTAGCAGAGCTCTCTGTCTGGCCTAGGTCCAGCATTTGATCTCTGTCTTGATCTTGAACGTGCTCATCTTCTGCCTCCCAGCTGCCCAGCCGCCCAGCCTCTTTGCTTCATGCCCCATGCCTCCTCAGACTGTTGTAAATTGTTTTGTAAATTTGATATACTTGCAATTTTTTGTTGCCTTTTTTTTGCGCTGCCTGTCCTCTGGTTACTTCATTATTCTTATTGTTGCTGCTGCTAGCTAGCTGCTGCTAGCTGGCATGCCCCGGCAGGGCCCAGTGACAACAACAGTAGCCCCAAGTTGTTCCATAAACTTCTAAAAATCAACTGCGGCCGCCATATCGTTGTCCCCCTCATCGGCGTCCCAGTCTTCCCTCGCCGTTTCCTTTGCGTGTATCTTTGTATCTGTATCTTGTGCTGCTTGTATCTACAAGCTGCAAGTATGCCGCTGCTGCCTGTGCCTGCTTATTGCTGATTATTTTTATTGCCTTCTGTGTGTGATTCATTTATTTTCTTTCTTCTTTTTCTGCCCTCCGATAAGGTGGTGGCAGGCTAGTAAAAACTCTTTAATTTCGCTTGTATTTTCATGTATCTTTGTATCTCTCTTTTTTGTCAGCTACTTGTCAGCAGTTTTTACATCTTTCTGGCTTATTGAATTTTTAGACAATTACCTCATTGTGTTGACTCGCGATGAGCTCCCGGCATGGATTTATTTTTAGTTGGGTTTTAATTAAATTCGCATTAGGTCTGCATTCGCGTCTGCATTTGTGATTCATCTGTGGAATTTCTGCTGCCTGTCCAGGCCCTTTTTTTGTGCCTCCAAAACTCTCTCTCTCTCTCTCTCTCTTTCGCTCTTCCTCTTTGTAGTTGCTGCCTTTGTTCTCCCCTTGAAGGCCCTGTCCCTCCACAATGATCTTGTTTATTACGCTTAGTTTAATTTAAAAATGCCTGCCTCCTCCTGCTGCCTCCTCTTTGGCCTGGCACTTGGGGAGAGCAGCAGTCACAGCCTCCACTTCATCATCAGATCGGTCTTTCTGCCTCTCTCTTGTAGCTCTCTTGGGAAGAGCCGGCTTTGAGCAAGCTTTTGGTGTCCCACGTACTGTAACGTACGATCCATTCCCAGTCGCGGTTTCGAGGCGTTCGGTTCGGCATTCGCATTACTTTCCTTTCCACTTGATCTTTATTTTATTATTATTTTTAGTGCTCTATGCATTTACGTGTATTGCTGCTGCAGCAATTGACATTAAAATTGATAAGCGGCAAAACGTGCCCGTCGCACTGCCGTTGCCTCTGAAAACCCGCTCTTTGCACCGATCCGATCGCTCGGCCTGCCATTCGGGTTGCATAAAAAGTAATGTGAAGTGAGTTTCCTGAATTGCATAAACATCGACTGTCAAATGCAGCAGCAGGAAGCCAGCCGATTGCAAAATTTATTCATAGTTTTTTCTAGCATTCGCTTCAGAGTGCAAGCATAAATGTGCAAAAATGTGATTATGAAATATGAGAAATCCAAATATATTTGAATACATACAAAAAGTGTTACAAGGCTGACATTCCACTTGTCCGCTCGCACACACCAGCGCTAAGCACCGATCCACCGATTTACCTATGCCCGATCCACCCACCCGATTATGGCACCTCCAAGAAATCCAAACGCAACTTTCTCGAAAGTGCGATTGCCAAAAAACAAACATCAAATGTGACCGCAATCCGCTTGGCCATTACAAATCGTCAAAACAGAATCACAACCAGAACCAAAAACCCACGCAAAATGCTCAAAAATAACTCAATTTGATTTCACTTAGGCCGAAAAGTGCTACGAAAGGCGCATCTGTTTCGCCCCTAAAATTTATAGTAGATGGAAAATCTTACAGATACAATACACGCGTAGTGGAAAATCTTACAAATAAATATATTAGATGGAAAATCTTACAGAAAGATGACACAAATGTCTACAGTGGCGGCAAAGTCAACAATTAGCAATAAATTCCCATAAATCACAAAGGGGCAGCCAGCCAGACATTTGTTTCTATTGCTATTGCTGTGGCTATTGTTGTAATTGCTATGATGATCGTTGTTATTGTTGCTGTTTCTCGTGTTCTATATTTGGTTTATTTACATACGTGAGCTGTTTGCATATGTCGCAGTCGCAGACGCAGGCCTCTCGGTGTAGCAACACAGAGCTGATAAACCCAGCAAATAAACGTTGCTGAGAAATTGTGTATGAAATGTGGAGAGCCATGCAAATATTATATGAGGCAAACGTACGCTCTGTATAGTAGATACACCTTTTCCCTGCTCTTAAGCTGCTGCAATTTAAACGTTTTAAGGAACCTTTTTCTTTTTGGGGAGATTTCAAACCAATTTTCATATCAATCACAAGACAGAGTTGAGCTCCTTTCCCTTGGCTTTGCAACGATCAAAGAACTTCTTTGAAATGAAAGTTGCACATCTTCTGACTCTCTCACTCGCTTGAATCTGCTGCAAAGCTACGTCCCTCCACCCGCATCTCCTTATCAGCACAACAACAACTTGACCCAAGGGACCCAAAACGGACAAACGGAACAGCAAAGAACTGAAGAGAATTCTGCGCAAGTGCAGCCCAACCAAAGCAGCTGAGGGTCAGAGCGAGAGGCCAATAACTGAACGAAAGCACAGCATCATACAGCACAGAGAGAGAGAGAACTGAAACAGAGAGAACAACAGCAGAAAGAGAGACACAGAGAGAGTGGCGCGAAGAAGCGCGTCGAGCGCGCGGAGCTTTCGTTAAGTTTTGGGTAGCAGTTAGGGGCCGTAGCAGCGGCACAGCGTCACCGTCCCCACATACCACATAGTTCAAAAGGGGGATCCAAAGTGAACGAACGACCGCGAAGGCGCAACGGAATACAAAAGCGCGTCCACTTGCAAAAAAAACAAAAAAATATAAAAAATAAATAAATGCCGCACTAAAAATTACAAAATAAAAACGACTCGTAAAGCACACGGTTCTGTGTGGCGGGATACTCGTATCAGATGTCAGACGGCGATAAAAATACACAAAAATTCAAAACATAAATGCGCGTGTTAATGCAAATCGAATGGCAAAGTGCAGCTGACAGCACTTGACGAAAGGTGTGTGCGAGTGGGAAGAGTGATGAGAGTGGAGCCTGGAGGAAAACTTTGTAAAATTGAATAAATTTCGCAAAGTTTTCCGCTAATCTCTAAAGTGAAAGAATGCTAGAAAAAGCTATAATAAATATTTAACCAATTCCTGTGTAGATTGATGTGATGTGATGTCATAATAAATATTACTTTTGCCGCTTATCGAGTACAAATAATAAAAAAAACTGCACACGAGTATAAGCGTGAAACAAGCGAACGAAAAAAGTGAACCAATAAACCAGTCGAAAGCGAAACTAATTTGTGATAACAACATCCGACGGATACGTGACTGCACGGATACATGATGGACGTGCCGACTGAGTACATGGTCTACCTGGAGACGGCCTGGGAGTGGGCGGGATGCCTGCCCTACCTGCTGGTCACCTATGTCTTCCTCACGCTGCTGCCCAAGTCCCTGCTGCGAATGAAACGCTTCGCGGACGCGGACTACGAAGCGAATCGCAACAAGTACCATCGCTGTTACGGCCCCGAGCTGTGCTGTCACGTCCAGGCCCAGGAGGCGGCGGCCTCCAAGCAGAAGCCGAAGGCGCGGAAGCCCGTCACACGCGTCTATCCCAAGCGACAGACTTCGACAGCGACGAAGGAGGAGCCCCCAGTGCCAGCGCCAGTAAAGCGGAGTAATGTGACCAAAATCGCACGCATGTTCGAGACGGGTGCCACGCGGCAGGTGAGCCGGGTGTCGCCCGTCCTGCCCGAAATCCGGATGTTTGGTGCCAGCGATGACTCGCACGACTCCACGCCCTGCGCCTCCCGCAAGACGAGCATCGCCACACAGCTCTCGGCGCAGTTGCAGCACATCGAGCAGGCTATGCAGCTATGGCAGGAACTGGAGGAAGAGCCCTCCAAGAAGTCCTCACCCTCACACAGCGACTGGGAACCGATGACGGTGCCGGTGGTGCGACGCACCCGTGGCACCTCAGCCACACCCTCGACTGCCTCTCCGCTGAGCAGCTCGCCGGAGCCAGCGTCCCCAGTGCTGCTGCGGCAGCCGCCGTCGCTGTGCCTCAAGTCCAGCATGGAGGACATCTTCCAGGTGATTGCCAGGAGCGCCGAGGAGCCGCACGCTTTCTATGCGGACTGCAACAGCCTGTCGCCCGTCACCAGCATCGATGACATTCTCTCGGAGCGAAGGTTCTCGCGTCCATTGTCCGCGTACTCCATCACGGATCTGCTGAACGAGGAGCAGTCATCCTGCGTGGAAGAGGCAACCTATGTGAACGACACCAGATGAGGGAGGACAGTTCCAGTATCAAAAGATTTGATGAATGATCAGTTTTTAGTGCCATCCACCCGCCCCATGGCCCATGAGTCAGAAACGGAATCGAAATCGGGTCACCCGGAAGACTTTAGCCCCGTCCTAATCGTACCCTCATCGCATCGCATCGCATCGCATCGCCTTTGTTCCCCACGATTGTGACTCAGAAATGGGTAGAGGGTTGCCTTGCCACGCCTTCCTATAGTTTATATAGCCCCCCTCCTTCCTTCCATATGCATTTTGTTTGTTTAATCAATGAAACCTTAAACAAGTCAAAGTAAACAGCGATTTCCCTGTACTTATTTAACCGTCAGCTAAATGTTGATTTTGTCTCATTTATTGTCTCTGGGGTAAAACATAGCATAGCGATGCATCTCATATGTATAACTAAAACGATCCTATCGCAAATTAAATATGTATTAAATATGTATGAAATATGAATATGAATTTCTAGTATTACTTGTATGATTAAATGTATAACTTAAACCTACAAGAAAACTGTATCAAATGCAACAAAAATACACAACAAAACGAAGCAATAATTACGAGTACGAGTACGAGTGTGTATCTGTTTTTATTAACAATCAAAAAAAAACAAAAAAACGATTCCCTTTCGTATAAACAGCTGCAGCAAGGCAGAAGACAGGGTTCGAATGCTAAAAGTTTATTTATTTATCTGCATACAGTTTTCGCCTGCACGGACACAGCTGCTCGACTATTTATTTTGCATTTCTGTAGGCACAAATTTTAGCATCAAAAGTGGCATCATCGAAGCGTGTCTTCGAGAGGAGAGATTTCCCCGTCTAAGCCCCACAATTTGTCAAATTAAGTGACGCAAATCAAAATGTTGGATGAACGTTCCATTAATTATAAATCGCCGAAACGTTGGGAAGCTGTGATAGACAGGGGGAGGGAATGAAATGAGGTAATTCCTTTATGCTGTGGCTTTTTTGATTGATTTGATGGCAAACCAAAGGCAACGTAGCGCAGATAAATAATAAAGAGCTGCGGAGACTGAACCATGGTATGCTCGTACCCTACAGTGAAAGGTGTGGGGCATTTCAGCAGGGGCCAATGAACTGTTGTGGAACATTGCAACACTTGTTGCAATCAACACTGGCACAGAAACGACAATGGAAAACCACAAGCGAGAGGGCGCAGGGCTTATCTATCCAGACACTCGCGAGCGGAATAAGCCACTCGCCAATCAAATGGAATAAAAAACGGGGATGGGGATTGGACATATTTCCAGTTTACAAATTGAGATTTTTCTGTGCACACATTCTGCACTTGAACTTGACCAAAAAGCCAACGTAATTTGGCCTAATTGATTCGTATTCGATATGGCTGATGGCTGATGGCCTTTTCCGCATTGCAAAACAACCAAAGAAACACAACAACAACAAATGAGCATATTCATATGCTAATCTTAACATTTTCAGTGGTAGTTCCAAATATATATTTCCCTCGAAAGCAAAAGCAAATGCAAATGTCACGCAAATATCTACAGCGTAGACACAGCAACCAATAAAATATAATAAATTGGCATTTATTTGATGATATTTCTACCTTTTGGATGAGGTGGATGTTTTTTCTTGTCTTTTGGCTAAGGTAGGTTCCCCTTTTTGGGCCGCTCCTTCACAGAAGTATCTCTTACCTTTTAGGAGGTACAACCACAACTCGGATTGGGTTTGGGTAAGGTATCCATTCCATCGAAATATTCGTTTAATCGAATTGCTGTAGAGCTTTGTTTCCCCTGTTCATTAGCCCCACGGTTTATGCCTGCTTTTACCCATATATCGTGTATGCGTTTTATCAATTTATATTGGATGACTCATGATTGATTCATGGGGGCTTGTGGCGAAGAGAGAGAGGGCAAACGAGAGAGAGATTGATGGCATGACACACGCTGAAATTCAAGAGAATTCCGCTGAAGGAAAGAGTGAAGGTTGTCTCTTCGGCAATGACAATTGCAAAAGTTAATAATAATTATCAAAGTAGTGCACAAATTATGTGATAATACAATTGCATAAAGCCAGTGGCGTAGCCTGCTATAGAAATGGGGCTAAAGTTGGACAAACATAAACATTCCACAAATATTGCATAATTCAAGATAAAACTTATGATATTTACTACCTTAAAACACGATAATTCAGTGAGTGAACTTCACCCAAAGACACAGATACAGTTGCAAGAATTTCAGATAAGATTAAGGGGATATTTTGGTTGTAGCACTACCATATACATTTGTAGATATCATATAACTTATGCTCTTGCGTTGTGTAAACATTTCCATTTTCCATTTACGAGTTTGCACTTTTCTTCCGTATTGACAGCTTATGAATTTATTTACTTTTGAGCGGAATGCAAACCAAACAAAGCAAGTACTAGGAGGGGTCGTTCGCTGTCGGTCTCCTCTTTTAGCCCCTTATCTAATCGTGCGCTCTCTCGCTCTCCGCATCGGGGCTCCAGCCAGGTGCGCAATTAGCCAAGCGCCAGCGTTTAGCAGTCGCCAAATTGGCATTGTGGTGTCTGATACTCGTACATTTTGCGCATCCATTCGATTGATCTGTGTCTGTGTCGTCGTTTGTTTTGTCATTACGGGCTCTGGTCTCTAATGGAGCGTACTTAACGTTTAAGCGTTTTGAGGTTTGAGGTGTGCCAATCCCCAACCCCCAGCTGGTTTGATTAGCAAAATTTGAATAAACAAATAGCTGCAAATGGAAAAAGTTAAACTGGTAAGAGCTTTTCCCTAAACACAAAACAGAAGCACAAACAAGTGAGAAGATGATTGTGTGTGAGTCATGGCCAAGTGTGGGGTAACCCGGTTACCCCGATAAGGCCAACTGTTTGCCATATTTGTGTGGCCATTATAAATATTTTTGTTGGTTAATTTCTTTATAAATGCGCATATTGAAAACTCAAAATTTGGCGCTTAGCGCGTGGGTGACAACGTTTTTGTTTTGAAAGTGAATGTAATCACGAATATTCATGCGAATCTCTTGAATCTCTTTTTTTCAGGAGTCGCTCTCTCTGGCCCACTCGCTGTCGGACAAGCCGCTGCCACCCTCGCCACTGATACCCACCAGCCTTGAGGGCGGCAAGGTCTCCGATCGCTTGGGCAAACTCAAATCCAACTCGGAGAACTGGAAGCAGCGCATAGGTAAGTGGCAACGAAATTAATCTCTATCACAGTTCTCACTTTAACATTCCCATTCTCTTTTTTGGCAGAACAAACCGATGCCAAGAAGTTCACAGTCGCTGGACGACTGCAGAAGAAGGCCCAGTCCCCGGTGGAGTTGCAGTTTGAGCGCTCGACCAACGATGCGGCCAAGAAGTGTCCCATGCTGGAGGTGCGCAGTGCCAATCAGCCGCAGCTGGGCCTGGCCAAGAGCCCCTCCATGATGGTGACCAGCAGCACTAACACTGCCAAGACTACGCAGCGCAGCCTCAGCGTCAATCCCGAGGAGGAGATCTCCACTTTGAGCCGCTCGAACAGCAGCAGCTCCGACTCGGATGGGGAGCGCAGTTCCCCGCAGAATGCCAAACAGAACAAGGAGCTGGCCAACAACAAGAGTGCTGCAGCGCCCACGAATGTGGGTTCGAGGATACAGGTGCCACGACATGACGACAAGGAGACCTTCGAGAACTTCTTTGCCACACAGCCCACAGCCAATGCACAGCAGAAGGAGGCTGCGGCGGAGGTGGAGATCAGCGCCTTCGATGACATAAAGCCCACAGAGCGGTGAGTTCTTGGAGGAGCAATCCCATGCCATTCGGCAACTAAATTGAGTTTATCTTTTTTTAGTTTGGTGAGCAAACGGCATGTGCAGGGACCTAAGGGACGTCGTGCTGCCCGCAATCCCCTCAAGAGTCTGGCGGCACGCAGCGACATCACTTCGGAGTACACGGAACTGCGCACAGGAGTGGCCGAGCGAGAGTTGCGTCGCCTCAAGCTGGAGTCATGTAAGTCATGCTGCCACTTTTATTAGAGTACCCTGCTAATCCTTTTCCGTGCTCCGTCACAGTCGGACAGCCTGGAAATGGAAATCTCGCCGCTGAAGCCATTGCCGGACTGGCCTCCATAGAGGACTTCAAGGCAGTGGCCTTGAGGTCGTCATCGCTGCCACTGCAGCAGATGTGGCTGCCCCACAAACCGGTGATGCTGCTGCATGTCAAGGGGCGCACTCATGTGCAGACCCGTCTGGTGGCTCCCATTCACACGTCGCTGAATCGCGGCGATTGCTTCATTCTAGTCTCGGGCTCCCAGCTCTACCGCTACGTGGGCTCCTTCGCGAATGTCATTGAGATCTCGCGCAGCAAGAAGATCTGCGCTGCCATCGTGGAGAACAAGGATCTGGGCTGCACGGCCAGCCAGGAGGTGATCCTCTCGGATGGCAAATTCGTCAACGAGCGGCAGTGGCGCCAGTTCTGGTCGCTGCTCGGCAAGCCGGAGGAGGAGGCGTATGAGATTCCCGAATGTGGCCATGCCGACGAGGATGATGTCTTCGAGAGCAGTCTGATTGAGACGAACAAGATCTACGAGTTCCAGGATGACGCTCTCATCCCGCTGGACAAGTACTGGGGCTGCATACCCAAGGTGGACATGTTGGACACACGCAAGGTGCTTGTGTTTGACTTTGGCAGCGAGCTGTACGTGTGGAATGGCAAGAACGCCACGTCGGATGCCAAGCGGGCGGCCATGCGGCTGGCCCAGGAGCACTTTGTGGCCAAGGATTCGGCAGACTATGCCCAGTGCTACCTGAATCCCCTCAACTATGTCTCCATTGTCGGTCGCCGTGAGAGCACCACCTACGCCAAGCGATGCGCGGAAAGGCCAGACTGGTGCGTGCTTGGGAAGATTACCCAGAACATGGAGACGGCGCTGTTCAAGGAGAAGTTCAGCGACTGGCCGGAGCTGGAGAGGGAGGATCTGGAGAAGGACTACCTGGCGAATGGCGTGCATGTGGTGCGTGCCCTCAATGGAGCGGCGCTGCACAAGGGCGAGCCCTACCAGGAGCCCAATCTGGTGCTGGAACAGTCGAACCTCGGGAGGGGAAACTTCTACTACGACAACGACACGATGCGGCACTTTGATGTCATCACCAAGTCCACCGACAAGTGGCAGATACACGAGTTCAACTTCGATGCGGCCAACGGTAGCGAGGATTACGGCCACTTCTACTCCGCCGAGAGCTACATTGTCCGCTGGATCTATCAGATATCGGTGACCGTGCGAGAGCTGAGCGGAAAGGTGTCCAACAGAAGCACTGTGGGTCGCGATCGTTGCGTCTACTTCACGTGGCAGGGACAGGACTCGAGTGCCAATGAGAAGGGTGCCGCCGCTCTCTTGACTGTGGAGCTGGACAAGGAGAAGGGCTCCCAGCTGCTGGTGGCCCAGGGCGATGAGTGCACGGCCTTTGTGCGTCTGTTCCGCCAGCTGTGGCAGCATCGCGGCCGCAAGGAGCAGTGCCTGGAGAAGCGCAACCAGTGGCGACTCTACCAACTGCAGGGCAATGTGCCCGAGGAGTCGCTGCTAAAGGAGGTGGACTGCCAGTCGCAGCAACTGCGTTCCCGCAGCTCCATGCTCATGATTCACGGCAGCCAGGGACTCGTCATCGTCTGGCATGGCTCGAAGAGCGCTCCACACTCACGCAGTGTGGCTCTGGAGGCTGCCCAGGAGTTAGTCAAGCAAATGCCCAAGGATCTCTTCAGTTGCGAAAGTGCTGCCATCCTCACAGAGCTGGAGGAGGGCGACGAGAGTGAGGACTGCAAGAAGGCTTTGGGTTTGGAAGAGCAGCGCACGGACTATGGCAGCCTGCTGAAGTCCACCAAATCCTTCGACTACCAGCTGAGGATCTTCAACTTCTCCAGCACACAGGGCGTGTTCAAAGCCTTGGAGCTGAGCGATCCACTGCGGTGCCAGGACAAGTACAGTCCGTATCCGTTTAGCCAGGCGCAACTCTACAATGCACGTCAGCCGACCATCTTCCTGTTGGATGATGGCGATGAGCTGTGGCTCTGGATGGGCTGGTGGCCACTTGAGGATATAAAGAGTAAGTTTTCAATCAAGCTAATGGCCAGAGTAGATAATTAATTGTTTGTTTTTTGTTTTCAGTAACAACGGATGAGAGAAGCAGCCCCACAAATGACAATCGGGCTGGTGTTAATCGCTGGATCTCAGAGAGACGCGCTGCCCTCGAGACGGCCGTCGACTATTGGCGTGCCAAGCACGGTGAGAATGTGAAGGAAGCGTTCCATGGCGTCAAGGGCCAGGTGGTGTGGGCAGGCCTCGAACCATTGGCATTCAGAGCACTCTTTCCGGAGTGGAATGAGCGTGCCGATGTCAGGGAAATCAATGTAGAGGTGAGTCGGTTGAAGTTAAGCCACAATAAACTGTTTCTTAACTCATATTTGTGGAACCCTTAGGATGGCCGTACGGATGATATCATTGAAATTAGCACAATGCTGGCACAAATGACACAGACAGAGTATCCTTTGGAGGTGCTCAAGGGGCGACCACTGCCCGAGGGAGTGGAGCCCACGCGACTGGAGGTCTACTTGAATGCCGAGGACTTTCAGGTGGCCCTGGGCTGCAGTCGGGCGGAGTTTGAGCAGCTGCCCATCTGGAAGCAGACCAAGCTGAAGAAGGAGCGGGGCCTGTTCTAGGAGAGAGGCACAATGCAACCATATAGACTTGAACACAATCACAAACCACACAAACCACACACCCATACACACACTTTTCTAAGCACACTTTTGTATGCGGCGATGCTTTTGCAACGGGCACTGACATAACTTACTATATAACATAGTATATTCTATATATATATATATCTAAACAAGTATCATATATACACACGTGCGCATATCCCTATGTACTCTCTATTTTACACACAAACTACATATGATATATATCCTTTTATATGTAGTAGTTATATGCAAGCAGGCGACACTGCACGACTATTATGCAAGTGCACGATGCCAGGCAATAAACTTCAAATCGCTTCATTCGACAACCAACTCATTCAACTGTTCAGAGTCCATCGATTATACCTGTATATAAATATTAAGTTGTTTTTACATTATGTATTTTATTTTAATGTATTATTATTTGAGCGATTTAACGAAATTTGCATTTGTTCAATCTCCGCAAGAAAAACACCAAAAAGCAACAAAAAGCGCAACGAGCTCTCGTTATTTCATTGTTTAAATTTCGAAATCATTTGAATGCTAGCTTTATTCTCCTAATTTAATATCTAATGGCCTATGTGTTTGTGTTTTTATTATGTTAAAACAATCGCGTATATTTAGTTATTATTTTTTATTAAATAACACTTCAATATTTTAAGTTAATGTATTGTTTGGTCGCAAGAAATGCCTTTATCATTGATCTGTGAAAAGGACTCCATCAAGGAATGCCTAAACGATCACAGGAAGAAAATATTCTAGATAGGGACTACTGCAAAATCAGGGACCCTTTTCAATTACACAGGAAGCCATGGGCAACAGTTTTCCCCATACATAGCGGAAATCATTGGATTCTTTACGGTGCTAAGGAAATGTTTTCATTGGCCGATCATGAGGGGTGGCTACTCCCTATCGATCCACAAATAGCGAAAACAAGATACTTATGACTGGACCAAGTATCCTTGATCCTTGACAGGGACATATATACAACTTAACATATAATAATAAACAAAGAAACCGTACCATAAAATATATATACTTTTTTGGTATCCAAAAAAGCAAAACACCCAAAACATATTCAGGTATATCAAAAACCAGGGCATACTTTTGGGGGTAGCCTAGCTTTCTTTACTTTCCAAAAAGGGTGGCATGCTTTTGGGCTGGTCGATTCTTTATTTTATAAAATAGCTTAAAATAGTATATACTTGCAGTTTTAGAGGTCCTTTATGAGCGAAAAGGATTCTTGAGACTCTTCCGCTCACGAGGACACGTGCTACGCCCGGTTCGGAAGAGAAATGGTCGAGTTATGGAAATTATATCCTTAATCCTTGATGTCCTGAAAAAGGACTTGACTGAAAAGGATCACAAAAGTTGTCCTGATTACGAAACGGTGTGGCACGCCCAAATCGGTTGAAGAATAGCCAAGATATGGCTTGAAGGATAATTGATCCTTAATGTCCTTGATGCCAAACGAACGGGGACGTCCTCCCGATCCGCCCACAAATAGCGGAGAAAACCACAAAAACAGTCCTCCTTGTTGTTGTTGTCAATATTTGTTGCTGTACAACAACAACAAAATTGTTGTACAACAATGGTGGTTTTTGTTATTGTTGTACAACAAACATTAATTGTTGTACAACAACCAATTTTCGGAAATTGCATCGCTCAAATGGACTCAAATTTCTGACCGAGTACTAGGCGAACATAAATCAGCAGCAAGTAGCTGGTTTTAAGTTTTTGCAGTCTGTCAAAAGCTGGCTGTTATGAAACTGAATTAATTTTTCGGTGATCGCAAAGTAACTAAAAGTATGCACCACCTTTTGTTTGCAACGACTTTATTGCATACAAAATTCGTAGCATGCTTTTAGTTACCTTTCGATGTTGTTTGTTTCAGTTTGGTGAATTTCAAGTATAATTCGTAGCATACTTTTAGTTACTTTGCGACTGCAAAAAAAAACACTGCAACCATAGAAAACCTGCATAAATAAAACATAGTTTTAAATTAAATGATTGCTCTCGCATTTATTTGCTACTAAAACGTACAAAGGATAATGGAGAGATTTTAGAGGAAGGCACTTGACAGAGAGGGGGCTAGGGACAGCTTCTTCAGGCGCATCGAATCTCCAGCCTGTAGCACCGATCAGAGTCGGTTGCATTCCACCTGACCAGCTCCGCAATGGGCCTGCTTGACTTGAGGAACAGAGTCAGCCGTTCGTTGAGCTGCAGCGGCGAGAATTTGCTGACAATCAGCGCCTTGGTGGGGTCACGGTATTTGCCCACCAGCGAGTCATTGCTGAACATGCGCCCTCGCTGGTCCAACAGCTCATACGTTTGCACGGCCTTGTTCTCCTCGTCATCAATCAGACGATAGCTGGGCTGCCGGTAGGGATTGTAGCCCAGCTTCTTGCATATCTCTCGCACTTCATCCATGTTGGGCGGAGCACTCTTCGGGAAGCACTTGGTGTGCCAGATGCCATAGGTTTGCTCAATCACTTGTCCATACTGTGGGGCAATCACCTTAGTGCTGAAAAAGATATAGATTTAATATAGATTTGACTGGCATTATCGATGGATACATACTTGTATTGGTTGTGGGCAAAGAAATCCTTCTTTTGCTGGTGCAATGGATGCTCTATGCCAAAGCAGTATCGCTCATCCTCGCCATTGGGGCAGTCGGGCTCTTTGTCGCACACAAAATCGCGTGGAATACAATCCTCCGGGGAACTAGATATATAAAATTGAATAAGATATTAACTTACAATGTAATATAAGCATTGTTTAACTCACGAACTACATTGAAAGTGATCCGACGTGCAATTGCAAAGCACAGAACTCTCATCGCTCTTGTCCCAACAGTTTCGTTTTCCATCGCATATCTTGGCGGGATCCGTGGCTCTACAGATGAAAATCGAAACATATGTATAACGGTAACCATAAGAGGCCTATTCAGCTAGGACTCACTGTAGATAGGTAAAGCAACTGCAGATGGTCGGCTCATCGGTCATGTCCTCACAGTCTGGCACATGATCACAGAACTTGTTCTTGGGCAAACACTTGAAACTAGAGCGACACTTCATCTCTCCCGGGGCACATCTCTGCTTCAGCTTTCGACATTTGGCCTCCTGCTCATCGCTTCCGTCATGACAATCGGCTCTGTCATTGCAAATCGCCGATTGGGGCAGACAAATACCCAGCGGGCAGCGATGAGTGCTGCAGTCGGGAGGTGCTTGTGGATTTTTACAGCTGGGTTGATCTAGTTTTGGGGCAGAAATCAGAAAGTTTTTAAGTTTAAAACTTATTTGGAGCTTTGCTAATAGCACAGCCCACCTATAATGTCCTGCAGTGATTTGTAGGCCCGCTCCAATGTCTCAATGCCGAATGGTTGCTTGAAGCTCTGGCAATCGGAGTTGTTGTAGCTAAACAGAGCCGAGGGGAACCAGCCCGAGTGCGAGTCGCGACAGACAAGCACTCCCTGATCAATGGGATTGTGGTGCGTGTCACTGAGGTTCTTTAGCCCAAACTGATGGCAACTGGTGAACTTTGTGATGGCTGGGAGTTCCGTTGCGGCTGCACCATTGATAAGCTCCACCTCCTCCGAAATGGAGGCCATATCCTCTGCACTGACATTCAGCAAGCGCATGAGATTCACAGGCGGCTGCTTCTCCTGCAGCTTATAGCACGACGAACACTTCGGGTTATTCATGATCTGTGTAATGGCAACCGTTTTAATTCGCCCGGAACTCTCGTCGTGCAGCACGCTAATGCAATCCTGAACAGCAGTGTGATTATGGGGAGTACTGCAATGGAAGAACCAATTAGAACAACTTCCCAGATTGCTATTGCAATCTACGCTACTCACCTGTCGGGCAGGAATGTGGGCAGCACATGATGGCTAAAGCGTGCAGGTTTCTCCAAATGAAACAGCAGAACATTGGACTTGGGTACTGCTTCAAAGCAGTCCACGCGACGAATTTGCTCGTGATTGCTTCTGTGGAGGGAGCGTTTGTTTTTGCCACCGCCCAGCAGTGCGCTAACATAGTGCGTCTCGAGGCTGGAAGGTATTTATAGATATCAGTTTAATAAAATGTTCCAAAGCATTCGACTTACCTTATGCCCGAGAGACAGCTCTCGTGTACCAGCAGCCAGTGCTTGTCGATTAGCACACCGATGCACCAGAGCTCCCCATTGGCATAGACATCGGCCAGCCAGGGCCAGTGCAGATCCTCGATGGCCTCGTGCAGCTGCTCGTTTACTAGCAGCGTCCTGTTCTTCTTGCTCTTGATTAGGTTATCTAAACGGTCGAGTACTTCGTCCTTTTTGTTGACAATCATAGTGGCTGGCTCTTGCGGCTTGAAGTGGACATTGGGTCGGTTGTGCGTCTCAATGGTGGGCTTGAGGATTGGCATCTCCTCCGCAGGCTTTTGCTTGACCGCCTGCCCCGCACTCAGCGTTTTCAGGGGCGTTGTCTTGTTGGAGAGGGGATTGCACTCTACATAGATGCCCAGACACATGCTTGACAGCAGGCGGTCCTTCTCCGGTCTCGTGGGCAAAGGCAGGCCCTGCACTGGCATTGCCTCCTCGTTGTCCGACAGCTGGTCGTTGTCATTGTCCATGGAACGGAGCTCCACAACCAGCTGAGTCTTTCCCTTCAGCTCTGGTGTAATGGAATGAACATCCCGCTGGCTTACAAACTCCGAGCTATTGAAGTAGTGGGCTCCCTTGAAGCCAAGCAGCGCGCACACTGCATCCGCCGTGTTGGCCTGGTGCTCATGGTAGCCCGTCTCATGGGCGCACACAACACGCCAGACGCCATGTGCGTTTCTGGAGAAGATTCCAGCGCTGCTAAACTGCGGCTGCTGATGGATATCAAAGTGCACATCTTGGCCATTCGTCAGGGCAACTGTTGGAGGGGAAAAACATAAGCTTCTTTTATGGCTACTTCCATTCTGTTTTTTCACTTACAGCAATCCTTTTCGTCCTCCTTGAACTGACAGTCCACGGAGTTGTCACAGCGCTTCGCCAGTGGCACGCAGGTCTTGGACAACGGGCAGCGGAACTCATTTGCTTGACAGCCAACTGTTGGGGGGATTGAAAGGCAATTCTTAGTTGGAATATAATGAGAGTTGGTTTTGCTGCCTACCGCAATCCTGTTCATCGGTTAGATCCTCGCAATCCGCTTTGCCATCGCATATGAGTGCACGCAGACTGCCCTTCATGTAGTCCCGACAGCTGCACTCCAGCTCATCCGTGCCATCCTCGCAGTCCACCTTCCGATCACAGCGCATCTGCAGCTGCACAATCTGAGACATTCTGTAGACCATTTCAATGAGATTAACTGGTTTATCCTTACAAGAGTTGTGTCTTTCTTTTTACTTACTTTTTGCATACAAATTTATTGGGTATCTCCGTTTTAATGGTCGCTGTGTGTTGAGGGGTACTTGTAGTTGGCGCTAAGGTTGTGGTTGCTGTGGGCCTGGCAGTCGTGAGCTTAGTCGTTGTGATAGAAGGAGTAGAGCTACTGTTGGGCGTAGTTGTAGTGGGCCTGGCAGTCGTAAACTTGGTAGTTGTGGTAGCGGGAGTAGAACTACTGCTGCTGGGTGTAGTTGTCGTAGTTGTGACTTCCGTGGATGTAGTTTCCTTGGTTCCCTCCGTTGTGATTGTTGTTGTAGGCGCATCTGTTGTGACTGCAGACAAGGTGCTGCTCATCATTGTTGTGCTCTCCTCCAGCAATTGCGTAACCAAATCGGTGAGCTTCTTGAAATCCTCTGTTGAGGTAGGCATTGTTGTGGTTTGAGCAATTGTTGTTGTTGACGTAATCGTTGTTGTTTCTATTGTTGTGGCTGCCGCTGTCGTTGTTGAGTCCATTTTTGTTGTGGTTTCTATTCTTTCGGACAAATCCCCTGATGGAGTGGTCGTTACATCCACAGACAGCGTGGAATCAATTTCATTTTCACTTTGGAAAGTTGTGCTTTGCCACGCTTCAGCCTCATCTTGTTCTGCCAGCAATTCAGCATCTTCTATAGCAATATCCTGACGCTGTTTGCTATCCTCTTCATGCTCCTTCAGCGGATGATAATCACTCTCCGTTGTGGTGCTTACATTCTGTTGTGTGCCTCCCACCATATCGGGTATAAAGTTATAGACACAACCGACTTCATCCTCACCACCCAAACAATCGACATTCCGATCGCAGCGCTGTCGCTTGGCTATGCACCGCTTGCCACCCCACACGCACATGAATCCCGGACACAGCTGCATCGGTTTGCGTGCAGGCAGCAGGCGAGGTGACACCGCCATCTCGAGCCAGTCCAGGTACAAGGCCACCCTCGTGTAGACGCCAAACTCCTGGGGACGCGCACAGCCATTTCCATGGCTCACCACTCCAGCGAGATAGAACTGCTCCGGTTGGGTGACGCTGCGGCAGAAGAGTGGACCACCAGAATCGCCTTGACAGGCATCCCGGCCACCATTAGGATCGCCAGCACAAATATCCTCAGACGCCTGATCCTCTGGATCCGTGCAGCGCTTGCGTATGGGCACCGTCACCTGTCGCAGCGGATCACCTGTCAAAGATTTTACAATTTAGTATCAGCTTTTGGTTGGAGTTTGTCGCAGCTTACTACTTGGACCCTTCTCTCTGATGGCACCCCATCCTACCACCGTGCAGAGGGTGTGCTCCTCGGGGCCCCATATCCAATCGTCGCCGAAGGTTGTCCTTCCCTGATCAGGCAGACAGATGGGCTTCACCCAGCGATTAAAGTGCAGCGGATTGGCTAGACGCAGCAGCGACAGATCGTTGCGCATGCTGCGCCTTTCGTAGGCCTGATGTACGACTACATGGGACACTGGCTGGATCTGGGTGGCAGGAGAGTAGCTGGAGCGACGCAACAGACCAGCACGCACCTCGTAGTAATATTTGGCATATTTAATGACACAATGAGCGGCACTAATGATCTGTAAAGGAAGAGTTTTAAATCACATAGAGGGGAGAAATCCTCGCTGTACTCACCCAACGATCCGAGTAGATGGTGCCACCGCAATGGAACTTTCCATCACGATAGATGGCCACCACAAAGGGCCACTGAAGGGCACTCGTGTAGCCGCCACCCACAATGCGTCCCTCGCCGATAGTTTCCTTTGCCACTGCTCTCTTCACGCGCTTCGAGTGCTCCATTTTGGTCGTATTCTTGGGCACTCCACACTGCGTCGGCGGGCACTGGACATAGGCCACATGATCCACTAGGGAGTCTGCGTTGTTGCGTCCATGACAGGCCTGGGCAAAGTGTATGCCCGCGTGCAGCGAAGGCTCAATAAAGGGACCTGGCAGTATCAGCGGTTTAAAGGTGAGCTCGGGCACAGCTCCCTCCATCTTTGCATCTTGTTCGCAGGCAGCGTTGGCCCACTTTTCGCCATTGTTGCACACGGGATGCCAATCGCCGCGATGATTGTGATACAGATAACCCTCCGAGGCAGAGGCAGCGTGTGACTGGAGAACAAAAGAGCGGGATTAGAAGGGAAAAGCGCAGAGGGAGCGAACTTACCATATGATGTGTGACATCTGTGACCAGCATGCTGCACTGCTGCTCATCGCGACCATTCAGGCAATTGAGGAAGCCATCGCAACGCTCCAGGCGGCTGTAGCACATGGCTATCGTGGAGCGATTGTGGCGAGCATATTCCTCTTGATTCTCGTAGCAGGAGAAGGCCAGCGCCTCGCAGCCAAAGCAGCCCAGCTCATCCTCGCCCATGGGGCAGTCCTGATAGCCATCGCACAGCCGCTCCTCGTCCAGTCGGTCGCCACAGGTGCAGGCAGACTCATCGCTGCCATCCTTGCAGTCCACACGGTTGTCGCACCACTGGGAGGCTGGAATGCACTCATGGCCGCCATAGCACGACACCTGATCCGGTTCCGAGCACTGCGAGCGCTCCATTGGCTGCTGCGGGAGTCCCGCATAACTGGCGTAGATAATCTGTCCCTGATGTTGGACCGCGCTAGTCTGATTGGCATCGTGGCGCATCTTGAAGTTGGCATTGGAGAAGGGCGACTGGCCGACACCCTGCTGCTGGTTGAGTCCTTGCTGATGGTTGAGTCCTTGCTGCTGGTTGAGTCCCTGCTGCAGTCCCTGTCCCGACTGGTTCTGCATGTAGCTGCAGTAGACCTGCTGCTGGGCATTTGTCATTTTCTGTGGTGAAGCATTCTTCGAGAAGATATTGGCGCCCTGTCCACCTGCTCCGGAGCCGCCGCTGCCACCAAAGAAGTTGCCGCTCGGTCCGAACTGCTGGGGCACAAAGAACACGCCACCTCCGCCACCATTGTTGGATGGTCCACCAAAGTGTGCTCCCTGCATGCCCATAAATGTGGGTGCGGCCGACCACATGGGCATGCGGAAGTTGGCTGGCGTCATGTAGAAGCAAACGGGAATGCTGGGCATGCCGAGATTCGGGTTGAACATGAACTGCGCCGAGGCCTTCATGGTCTCTCCAGAAACAGGGAATCCGCCGGGCGCTCGGCTGGTGAACTGCACACTGGGCGACGCCGTGAACGTCTCTCCCATTTGCTTGGTCTCTGCGACATCCGACATGGCAGCCACTTTGTTACGCATTCGCTCGCAAAGCGTCATCAGTTGTGCATCCGCAGCTGTGGGGGAAACACAAAAATGGAGTATTAATCTTGCCCAAAGTCAAGAGAGTGCCTTTGGCTTACCATTCAGAAGATGTCCATTGAGTGGATTGATTTTGGGTCCCATTTTTTCCAACACTTTGGCATCCAGCGCCGTGCCGAAGGTGTCTATCAGCTCATCCTTCGCTTCCATGGCCTGCTTCTCGAACTCTTTCAGCCAGTGCTGGCGCTCGTAAAGCAGTGTCGCTGTTTCCTCCACAGATTCGTTGCTGGGGAGCACCTTTAGGATAGGCTTATCCTGTTCATGCCGCTCAAAGCTCTCGAGCATGTTCTCAATGCTGCTGGGATTGTCCAGTGGATGCAGAGGAATGCGCGAACCTGTCTTAGTGGTGGTTCTGGCTGTAGTTGTGCTGCTGCTGCTGGACATCTCCGTTGTGGTCGTTAGCTTTGGTTGTGTGGTCGTGCTGCTCACTTCTGCGCTGATCACATCGCTGTCAATGATCCAGCTTATCTTCACGGGCTTTGGCTTGGTCGGATATGCCGTAAAGTTCTGCCTATCGCTAGCTTCGGTTGTGCTAACAGTCGCTTGTGTGGTGGTGGTTGTGGTGGTGCTAGAGTTACCCAACTCTGGCTCTGGTTCAACAACTTCCTCGCCATCAATGATCCAATCAAACTGCAGCTTCCGGGGCAGTGTCTCAGTGTGTGATGTTGCTGCTGCTGCAGTGGTCGTGGACAGAGCTTCGGGTGCATCTGTTGTCAGATTTCTCTCCCACACAACATTCTCCGAGGTGGGCTCCTGCCCAGCGTTCATTGTGGCTGCTGTGGTAGTCAGCTCTCTGGTGGTTCGCTGCTTGGGCCCCTCTGTGGTGTGCACAATCTCCTTGGGCTTGTCAAAGCGGTCCAAGATCCAACTGATTTGCTCCGTTGTGGTCTCCACAGAGGTTCCCACACTTGGTGCAGTCGTCTCCCCAGCCATTGCCTGCTGGGTTGTTGTCTCCACCAGCGGCACAGTTGTGGTGTTCATTGGCTCTTTGGTGGTCAATGTCTTTGGCGTATTGTCCGTATAGACCGCACTGTCGTCGTGGTCATGGCCATCGATGATCCAGCTGATTCTCGCTGGCTTTATTTTGGAACGAACTGGCTTCTGCGTATACGTCTCCTCTGTGACATTCGCTGCGCTTGTCGTGGGTCCAGCTGTCGTCTCTTGTGTCTTCTCCCGGGTTTCATTCGACTCCATGCTGCCAGACTCCAGCTGGGGCTGCTGTTCCCTCATGATGGCCTTCATTTTCTCCATTTTTTCGGTGATTTCCTTGGCCATGTTGTACATCCGCACAAAGGCGGACATGCAGTCGTGTGGCGTTTGCTTCTTGCAGCGCACATACTCGCTCTCCAGCAAACTGAGCGCCTCGCGGGCTCGCTTGCTCCTCAGCTTCGAGTAGATGTGCTGCATGTGCGCCTCCACCTGTAGGGGATCAAGTAGATCTCTTCGGAAGAGATCACGCGGTGAGCGGCGTCGATTGTTCAATCGAAACTTCCAACGCAATTTGTTCAAGCGACTCTCCCGATCTTCAAGCTTCACGTGCAATGTCTGTGGGCTGACGATCAGAACATCCTGAACCTCATCGAAGGGCTCCTTGGGCTGTCGATGCTTCTCATTCAAAGCGGCAATTTGCTGACCGCGCTCTGGGAATGGGCAACAGTCATTAGTTTACTCATTCTACTCCATTTGGAGTCATTTTCTTACCCATTTTCTCCACCACGAAGCCATGGTAGATCAGCAAGAAGCACAGCGTCAGGATCAGCAGCACGATGATGGCCAGGATGCGTCTGTTGGGCGTACGACTACAGCAGTGACGCGGTTTACGCAGCAGCCTGGTAGCCTCCAACTCTAAGAATTTCATTTTCTCCGAATTATAATCGTAATTATCACAAATAAAATACATTAATCTCTGCGCTTATTTGAACTAAATTACTTAAACTGAACTATTCCCTTAAAAGTGCTGTGAACATTCGTTTTACTTTTTTAACATGATTAAACATTCTCGGCCAATTCTTTGCTTCTTTTTTGGAACTTTATTTTGATTAGCCATTTCTGGGCTGCTCAGCAATTTCGCAATAATTTTGATTTCAATAAAAACGCTGATGCAAAAAAAGCGAACCAAAATTGGAACTTCAAATGGAATAACTTATGGTAGAGTTTAACATAATTTAGAGTAATATTCTTGCTTAAAACCTAATATGTATTCCACGTACCATCTATGTTGTAACTCATTTTAATTATTAATTATTATTTTTGTGGTGTTTGCGGCACAATCACTTATGCTCTATACATTTTGGAAGCTCAGTTGCAAGTTTTACATGCAATTTTGCTTTATTTTTCGATGTTCTTCACTTTGTTTAATTAGCTTCCCAACAAGGAGCCTCGAATTACAGTGCACTCAAACAAAAAAATTCACAAAAAGCACAAAACAAGCAGCCAAATCGAATCTGATATCCACGACGACGACTTCCAACACGGTACGGTACACACGGCGAATGGTAAACGGCAACTGAAGCCATCGCCGGCTGCTCGCTGGGCTTATGAAGGCTTCCGGAAAGTGGATCAGCGTTCGATCGACCCACTTCCAATGCATATCGCTGCCAATTTTTATGCTACGTTTCGAACTTTACAGTTTTTTGGTTAATGAAAAACGGAGCAACATTTGCCGAGGTCAGCTAGAAACGGCGACCCATGGGCAAAAGTGCAAGTTGAAGGGGAATTTGCAGAGCAACGAACCACCCACTCAGCCAGCAGTAGAGCTCCCCCCACCCCCCACACACACATACAGCCTAGTAACACAGCAAGCTATGGGCTGACAAAGGTTCGATTAAAGTAATCCTTGCAACTTATTTCTTGATAGAAACACACAACCTATTCCGAAATTATTTTGATACAAATTTCATACATCTCAAGCAGAGAAAATACACCTTTTGTTTTAGTAACTTTTTGTCTTAAAGGTTGCACACTAAAAACCGTTCATTGCTGCACACGCATCCGATTGTACATATGAAAATTCAGTTGAAAATTGTCAAAAATCTTAAATCAAAATTTTACCAACGAAAGAGTGTGAGTTAACACTTAAACATAAAATAGATGTCAAACAGTAAAGAGTGCCAGCATAAACCTTCACCATAAATAGATACAAGAAGAAATGAAAATGCTACCCAATCAGCAGATGGATTCACAATTGTCGGAGTTGAGCGGTAGGTTAGCTATGTTGCAGTTGACGCGAGCAGAACGGTGAGTACTTCCAGCAGATACGTGGGTTCATTGATTATAAAGTTAGACAAAATATATTCATTATACATTATTAAGTATGTAAATTCAGCAAACATTTCGCTTAGTTAAGAAGGAACTTGAATTGATATTTTAATGAAAAAGTTAAATGCAAACTCGATAATCCTTACATATCGATTAGGGAGTAGATTATATGAATTTGAATGAATTAAGTACTTGTACTTGCCCGACAAAAGAACAACAACTTCATTTTTGCTCGGGAAAATGTCAGAAATGTTAATCAAAATCATGGTTAAATTTCCTCCGCACCAGGCGGGCACTTGCGCTGCGACTGGACCTCGTAGAGCTCTTCCAGCAACTTGCGGAACATCTCGGGACTTATGTTATTGCCTACACGCAACAGAACAAACCAGTCGCCAAAGCTGCAGTTTTGCAGAGCGCGCAGAAGATGCGACTTTGGCATGAGACGGGCTCTGGCGCGCATAATGTGGAAGCGTACGCCGCGATGGCAAATGGTGATCAAGCGGAAGAAGAGCTTGAGGCCAGCCAGAAAAGTCATGGTCATAAACCAGACCCACAAGAAGGCAAAGATCTTCTCGTTTAGAATGTTCAGAGGCAACAGACAAAGGGTGTCCATAGAAGAGTCCGATCCGCTGGGACCGAATCTGACCACCTCGCATTTGGCGCACTTGGGGAAGACGCGTTTGGTGATGCTGCTCCACATGTGCCAGTCGCCAGAGTAGACCGCAAGGAAAGCATCCACATAATGACTCCAGAAACCCTCAATGAACACATCCAACAGCAGCATGTTTACAATCTGCGGGAGTACAATATGCTAGAAGGGAACCACAAATGGTGTCTGCAGAATCTACTCACGCTGATCGCCAGGTTCAGAATCTCGCAAAAAACGTAGCTTACAAAGTAGCGAAAATGTGTCTCCTTGTAGTCGCTCGTAAAGTACTTGACCAGCACACGTAAGTGCGCGTTGCTACGCTCCTTGCAGACCGCTGTCTGATGGAAGTCCATGCAGAGATGCTTGAGGCGGCCGCCCTCCCAGATCTTCCACAAAAATGCAGGCAAATAGAAGACAAACGATTGCAGCAACAGCACCAGCACAACCCACTGATAGTAGCGTAGATATCGACGCTGAGCCAAGGGCACGGTTCCACCATATCCGCCTGCAAAAAGCGAATGTTAAAAGAATCACAAATCGAACGGCATTTTCCTTTGCTTACCCGGCTTGCAGCGCTCGTGGCCAAATGGAGTCGGCGTCTCCGTTATGTTGTCGCTGACATAGGCGCCGTACATCCAGCAATAGGCGTGAATAAAATCCATGTCGTTGTGGTCGCGCATACACTGGATGGGATCGCCAAAGTATTGCTTCGAGGAGAGCAGGAAAGTGCAAGCCAGCAGCAGGGCCACCGTGCACTTTGAATGGATGGTGAACACAGCATCGTAAATGTGCACCGACTTGAATTGCAAGTACTTCGACAGTGGCTTAACTGCGGCATACATCTTGTGAATCTCTATTTTGAGCACTACTTCACGCAATTTTAACTTTTAATGCTCGCAAAAAACACAACTTGAAAATTTAGGCGCAATTCGTGGAGCACGCGGCATTCTAACGGTGAAAGTAGGGATGATATCAATATATCAATTTACAGGGCTGGGTTTCCCAAAATATCGATACTTCTGTGCGATAAATTTGAAAATATCAATTTTATAGTAATTAACATCAATTTACCACCAAATTGAAATTTTATTAAATCTAAAGAGCAGAAACGAGATAGATTTGAATATCATTGATTTTGTGGTTGCATTTCGTTTTCACAACGTGTTGCAGGTGGGATAGCGTGCAAAATATACACAATCTGAAGGCATGTCCCAGCCAGTAATTGTATTGGCGCCCCACTGTCGTCAGCGGCCATTTGTAGAACTAAATATTTGGTAGTTTACATTTACATTTACATTATGTATTTTTGTAGCCGCCTCCATGACCGCTCTGCATACAATTTTGCAATACGATTTGCTTTATATAGATAATATGCCAAAGCGGATGGAAAATTATTATTACGAAGCATTCCAGTTTCGATTATATCGTTGTTTCAATTTAATGGGCTGTGGTGGCGCCCCCACAGATACATACATCGGGTACTATCTGCACTTCGGTGTTGGTATTTTTCGTAATGAACTTTTGGTCACGCGTTAGGAGTAAATTCTGACATACGTGTGCGACAAGCACATTTTATTTGTTTTGATTGAAAATCGCTAAAAAGGCCTGGAAATAAAGAATAACTAACCTTTTGCGTTGCAGCTTACAAATCAGGCTCGCCAATATGAAGGAGCAAGTCTCAGCGAAGCAGCAGGAGCGCAGCGACAAGAAGAAGAAGAAGCTGGCCGCATTGGCCAACCTGATGGACCTGAACGATCGGGATCGTCTCCACGAGGCTGAGTTGGCGAAGAAGCGGGACTCTGAGCCGAAATCCAGCGGCCCAGAGACAATGGAAGATGACGGATTTTGCACCGTGAGCAGCAAGCGAAAGACCAAGAATCGGCACACCATCAGGAGCACCCCCGAAAGGCCCACAGAGGCAGACCCGGACAAAGCCGATGAACCACAGTCGAAACGGATTCGCAATGATGAGGAAGCAGGTGGCGATAACATACCGGGTGACACGTTGGTCACTCTCAGCGAAGAGCAGTACAAGGCCCTTTCGGCGGATCTGCGACGACGCAAGCGGCGACTGCAGGACTTCCCCGCCTTGCGGCTGAGGGAGATGGGGCAGCGGGCATTGCTGGAGACACCTCAGGATGCGCGCACGCCCATCTTCCTTAGCGACATACAGAACCTGCTGATGTCGGGCATGATTGGCCAGAAGAGTCCCTGCCGGCCGGACCGCTGGTGCTCCATCGAGAAGTGGGTGAGTCTCTCGCACAGCGTGGTGGTCATCCTGGAGGGCCTCTCCCTCTACCACTACCTCTCCAATGAGAGCCAGTTCGAGGCCAGCAACAAGATATTCAACACGAAGCTGGAACTAATGCTGCCCCAGCAGGGTGAAGGCATGATTATCGATGAGATTGCGCAGGTTTGTAGCTCACTCGTTCGTTGATCGTTGAATCCTGATATATTTTTGGTTTCTCCCATAGATTCCCTTGACCAGTGTGCAGGCCAAGAAGCTAATTGACCAGCACGGTTCCCTGGAATCTGCAGTGGCACTCAACAAGGATCCCACACTGTTTGTGCGTGGCATTTTCCCCATTGAGGGACGCCAGGAGCCGGGCATGGAGCTGCCACAGCTGCATCCCGATGATAAATTCCCGCGGACCAAACTGCTGCTCTCCGCCCTGCAAATGGTCGACGAGGGCTATCCGATACCCTTGCAGGGCGAGCTGCACAGCCGCTTCAGGTCGTACAAGTTCACAAAGAAATCGTACAAGCCGGTCACGAATCGCAGTCCCATGTACGGCGTGGACTGTGAAATGTGTCGCACTGTGGCCGGAGTGAATGAACTGACGCGCATTTCCATTGTGGACGAGGAGTACAAGACTGTGTACGAGACGCTGGTGATGCCCGACAACAGGATCACGGACTATCTCACCCAGTACTCGGGCATCACCGAGGACATCATGAAGCAGGTGACCAAGCAGCTGAAGGATGTGCAGAAGGAGGTGTCCGCACTGCTGCCCGACGATGCCATTCTCGTGGGACAGTCGCTTAACTCCGATCTGAATGCCATGCGGATGATGCATCCGTATGTGATCGACACCAGCGTTTGCTTCAACATCTCCGGCGTGCGGCGGCGGAAGAGCAAATTGAAGCATCTGGCCATGACGTTCCTCAAGGAGACCATCCAGGAGAACGAGTACGGCCACGACTCGATCGAGGACTCCAGGGCCACGCTGAAGCTTGTGAAGATGAAGCTCGCGAACAGCATCGAGTTTGGCGACGAGATTCTCACCCAACACAAGCGACTGCAGGAGATCGCCAATGCCTGCAGCGGTGACAGCATCACGAACAACATGTTTGCGTACTCCGCCAAGCGGGACAGGAGAACGGCGATCGTGAATGTTGGTGGCCTGCAGCCGCGCCTCAAGGAGCTCATCGAGAAGGCCGAGCAGGTCGTACCCAAGGACAACAGCACGGCTGTGCTCGTGCACGAGGTGGCCACAACCAAAGAGGCTGTGCGCAAGGTGACCGAAATAGCCCTGGAAAACTCGCTGACAATTGCCAATCTGTCGATACCCGAAGAGGATTTCCTCTTGGACAGGGCCGAGCGCAGTGCTGTCAAAATCGACAAGGTCATCGAACGTCTGTGGAATACGGTGGCCCACAATGGACTCTTCCTCGTGCTCATGGGCGGCTCCACAGAGTGCCCCAAGGGTGTGGCCAAAATTGCCATCAAGCGATTGAATGGCACCGAACAGACAAGTGCCCCCATCGGTTGTTAGCACACCAACAGCCCTGACTTTATTTTGAATT